CGGGCAAAGTAGAGGGAACGGGCGGGCAAAGTAGAGGGAACGGCGGCGGTGTACAAGTCTGGCACACCAGTTACACATGTTCAACGCCAGACAAAATTCTTCCATCTCCTAGATAGGCTACGCGCCCCGGTGGTCTTGTGCTAATGGTACTTAACTGCCCATGTAAGGGTCGCGAATTAAATTCCATCCGCGGCCGCTGCATCTTTGATGGAGGTGAAAATGCTGCAGGCCCGTGTGCTTAGATTTGGGTGCGCGTCCAAGAACCTCAGGTGGTCTTAATTGCCGGAGACGTTCATTACGGTGGTTGACTCTAATTCTCTGTGAAAATCGCGACCTTATCACGATCGCTCCCATTCCACGAAATGTACACCCCGAATACAAAAGAGGCAGGCGACTTGTGCGAGCGACCGCCATTCTCAAGCGCATAGACATGGAAACGGACAACTTCTCGTTCGTGGACGCCGCTGCCTATCACAACAACCCAGCCTTCGCCGCGGTCGCGGTATCATCCATGCAGCAGACTCTTAACTCTGCCACAATCCTCACCCGAAATTCCGAAGTAGCGGAGCAAGTAGCTACAGCTATAGCTATGCTCCACAGCAAACGGGAATTCATCTACAGCGACTCCAGGCCGGCCACCAAAGCGCAAATGGCGCACGAAACGTACTCGCAGGTAGAGATGAGCGGGAATAATCGTCTCAGTTGTTACTTCGCTGTGTCTGAAAAGCGGACTCTTTTCACAAACGGAGGCTCGGCAACGATTGCAGTGACATTTCTGCGTCCCGTAACTGCAACCAAATCGTTCCAGTAAAAGCCTAACGCCAGCATAGACGTACGATCATCCCCACTGAGAGATAAGAGTGCGTGAGAAATCGTCCACCCTCCTCCTCTCCGCGGGCCAAAGTACGCGTTAGAGACGAGAGCAGCCACGCGCTCATTGTGCCATCTTGCTGATAATGCTGAAAACATGATAGCCCCCCCCCCCCCCGACATGCCAACTAACGTCGGTAAGTGGTAGAGATACGTAGCTTGCCGTTGGAAAGTTGGCTCAGTGGTTAACACCTCGCGTTCACCACGCGGAGGAGCCAAATTCGATTCCGCGCGCCGGAGTCTTTTTTCTGATTTTTTTTTCTTTCTTGCGTTTTTATATATGTAGAAACGTATAGAAATACGGTGCATGACGCCGATGCCAGCGGCAAAATCAAGCCGAGAGTGTCGTTATAATTGCAATAAAAATAATTCTCAACTTTTTCGAGTACTTTCCTCGCGTTATCCTAATGGTTTCGGTAGTTCGCGGTTGCGAACGGCACGCGCGTTATCACTTTGACTTAGAATTCTCGACAGGAAAGTGGCCGGCACCTAGTTTTAGAGAAAGGAAACGCGATCAAGTCAGATGACGATTATTGTGGTCGCGGGTTCGATCTCGGCAGCAGTGTCGAATTTCGGTGAATAAACGAAATGGTAGCGGCCCGTGTACTGTGTGATGTTTGTGCACGCTGGTGCACTAACAGATGGTGGAAATTTCTCGAGCCCATCCACTACGGCGTCTCTCATAATCATATGGAAGTTTTGGTACGTGAAACGCCAGATAATATTATAAATCGCGCAGTATGTTTCTGCAACACAATCATTATAAAACTACTAGGACAATATCGCTTAAATAGTGTGAGCAGAGCACCATCAGCACAGGCACTGTCTCGATGCTCCGAGAATAATGCCCGTGAAATATTCCTTCAAACATTCAGTCTACGTGGACTGAGCTAAAATGCTGAGTGTATTATTTCTGCTAATCACATTAGGATAATTTCGTTTCGCATCCAGCGCTTTTTTCGGTCCTAACGCATTGTAACATGCGAAGAGCGACAAAATAGCTTATTTGCAGAGCTACTTCCGGTGCCCCAACCAGGTTGTAGCGAGCTACAAAACCAACGAGAATAATAACATACCCTTACATAATTGATATCTAGCATTGTATGTTCTAGTTTTATTGGATTTTTTAAAAAGCGGATCCAGACCAAATTCTATTCTTGAATGAATGTAGTAGAACCATGAACATGCCGCACTTTTCGCAAAAGTCTCTACACTTGCACTCGGCAATACACTGTCATTTATTGTCTGGTTGTATGGCCGCCGGAATCACTCGAAAAATATGCCACAATAAAACTTTGCCATTTTATGCTGCGAATCATTGCAGGCGTTTTTGTGCCTGTCAACCACAAAGTGCGTTCTGCAGAAACGCCAAACCATGTGTTCCCGGTTATAGGACAACTCACCTCTGCTTCTGCAAAAAACAACATGCTAACTTTATTATTCTGATATGGTCGCTGTTTCATTTTATGTACGCTTCCCTGAACATACAGAAGCTAAGAGTACGTTCTGCGAGACCGCTAACTCTCAAGCCAAATACAAAGCCTCTGCTAGCGCCTTCTCATGGGAAGTCGTTGGGCACACATAGAAGAGACGACGGATAATAAATACAAATGGTAAGCGATCGTGCTTATAAAAGGCTACTAGCCGTCCACATTTCGCGAGCGTGCGGTAAGGCTATCAGAGACTGTTTCTTATATTCGCTCGACAGCGCGCTCTGGCTGCTTGAGTAATAAAGTTTGCGTTCAAGTAAACGTAAATCGTAATGTTGCACCGGGCAGCGGCTCCCCTACATTTAGTGTCAATGCCTGCAATTCGGGGTCATTTTTGCCAGGCCAGCCAATGTACAGGGTTTCTGTTCTTTACTTCAGGTGATAGTAAAATGCCAGTAATAGACCAGGCACATATATATGTATAAAAAATAAGAGAATAACTGTTTGCTCCCAAGTTGAGCAATACTAGGGACGCAGATGCATTAGTTACCTGACGGAGCAGTCACAGTAAAAAAGGCACAGAAAGTGGAGCTAGTTGGAAGTGATTAATCGCGAATGAACATATAGCGTGGGAACATGTATACAAAAAAAATCTGCAAGTTTTAGTCGGCGTTCCTGTTGCTCAGTACCCTTTGTAGGCGTGCGTCCACGCAGCTTTCCTCCACGACGGGCCGTATTTGCATCTGCAAACAGTGTCTTAATAGCGGTTCTGCACACGCAATGCCAGAAGTCGGGAGATTACACTTGACGCCAACCAACTTCCCATCATGCGACACCCAGTAGTAGGCAAAAGGGAACTTATCCGGCGTTCCTGCAGTGAGCTATCTACAGCGTTGCCTGCCGAATATTATCTTACAAATGGCGCAATACCAACTTCAACTAGTGGATAACTTCTGAAAAACACAGATCTGAGCTAGCTGGTATAGAATTCACGTTCATAAGACAGAATGCGCCAACGACAACATGAAAAAGTCAAGAATCACAGACGCGGGCATCTGTGTGGTCGAGGCTTTTTAACATAGCATTTTGGGCGTGTTGGTACGTCATACTGTAGTTCTTTAGCACACGAAAAAAAACCGACGGAGAAAAATAGTGCCTGTCCCGTCTTTCTCAGTCCGTGTTTTTTCGTGCGCTAGACAACTACAGTCCTGGGTACCTTGTTGTGCATCTGCACGCCACGTCTTTTTTACAAGGACAGTTTCGCCACACTTCCCATGATTATCAGGGCAATAATAAAATTTCACAGTCAGGGTTTCTTTAATTGAGAATGCATCAATCACTATGCATTTCATTTAGGTCAAAGTCTTCTTAAGCACCTTACTCTGCGCAACAACCACCTCAATCAAGAAACACTGCAGGCTTGTGCTGTTCCCGTTTTCACATCATAAAGCCCATACTTCTCGTCAGTCTTTAGGCTAGAGAATCGTCAAACGTTTCGCACGACAAATTTAGTGGCACGCCGTGTAGCAAGGTCGCTATGGACAATTTTATCCCATGCCTTTTCACCCCTGTCTTTCCTTCTCAACTCATGAGACACGCTGGCATATTTGGCAATCACAGAGCTCTCATGAGCGCGCTCGACGATTTCTGCTTCGCAAAGTGATCACTCCCGAAACTGCGCAGCTACAGGTTGCGCGCAATCTCGGAGTTCACAGCCCAGTGTGCCCGGTGTCACTCACGCCGTCTGGCAACAGAGACTAAGATTGCGGAGTGGCTGACATTTGCTCCGACGTGTGCCACCAACCTTCCAGCTGTTCTTACGCGCATTGATCTTAGTAGCTTGTGTCACATCGCACTTCTAGGGGGTGTCATCCGGAGAATGAACCGTTGATTACACGTTTGGCTGATCCGCGGTGATCCGCAGCAATTTTCAACTTTAAATTGTAGTAGTAACTTGGGAAGTTTACGCAGAGCGCTTAATTTGCCCCAGTAAATGACCTTTATGTGTTTGAACAAAATCGCAGAACGCTATCAGGGTCCCTTTAACCTGCACTGACGTCGCACAATACAGTAGGCTCTAGCATTTTCGCCTCCATCAAATAGAATTCCCCCTCCCCTTCCCCCAACACACCCAATCACGAACCCCCCGAGCGATGGGAGACCTTGTTGTCAAGCGCCGCCCAGCCGACTCAGCTTGCATTGACAACCAGGGGCCCAGAATTACTGGAAACATACGGGTCCTGAGAGTAAGGAATCACCCCATTTGGTGCAAGCATGTACCATCGAATGCTCAAGCCCACTAATGTTGATTCTCTCTCTCTTGGATTGAAAAAGCATTTATGGCGTCAGCAGACAAGCACCGTAGTAAATGCCGACCATGAGAAACCTCTTTCGTTGAACCTCTTCACCTCGGATGACTTCGTGAAACTTTCTTACACGGTCTGATGCACAGCGTATAGACTCACTATAAGCTACGCAGCAATGGCAACTCACTTCAAGCGCCTACAGCTGGGCAAGTGAATATCTCACTGCTCTACGAGTGCAAACGGTTGTCAAATTCAGCCTTATGAACAACGCCTGGCGGGGCAGGTCGTATGAATTTCAGCGCAAAACAAAAAAATTATAAACGCCAAAACTAATTCTCATGGCCGACAGCTCCGCCCGTGCACATGCGGCTTCCCATCAAGCCGCACGAAATGAGATCAAAGCGACGCCAGCTGCCGCCAACAATGATCACCTCGCACAGTTCCGTCGCTTGCCAGACTAGTCCCAAGCGCTTCGCATGCGTCCTTCCATGTGCGCAATAAGCCGTTACCGTCATGATGGCCGAAAAACGGTAAGTTTATCTATTAAGTATATTGATCCTGTGGTGTTCGATCTATCGATGTTTATTGTCTAATGCCTATGTCTACACAATCGAGTATGCCAAGCTTTAGAGACGTTTGCAGTATTGTCAGAAAGATGAAGCTGAAATTTAAACATAAACTAGAAAAATCAGACACGTGCGTTAAGGGATTTATCATAGAGTACATATCCCTATATCAATTTCTGTTTAGGAAGGTAAACAATTAACGTTTCTGCAACGGCGTTAAATTTGCCGTTTTTCTACTTCCGCTTCTATAGGGTCTTCGGTGAAGCGCTTTAGCAAACGACGCATCTGGTGTTTCCTGCGGCCTTTCTTCAAACTTCTGCGTGCGCTTCACATGAAATAGTGCCTTCCGTACGCCAGAACCTACCGTTGTCTTAGTATACGCCAACTGCAGCGAATGAGCACAAAGATTACAGACCTGTGATGCTCTCGAATACCGTTACGTGATATATAAACGTCAAGCACTGAACTAAGTCAACAAAACATCAAGTGCCGAATGTTTCCTATCAATCGCGAATATTCAGAGGTTGTTATAATTCAGAGGAAAAGACGATGTACATGATGACGCAGAACGTTAAGACATGCTGGCACGCAACGCAATAACGACTTCTGGGGTTTCAGGTGTCAAAACCCCGATATGAATATGAGGCACGCCATTAAAAATGCCTGCGAAAATTTTTGCTATCGGGTGTTGCTCTTTGCTCGACTGTAGGTCCGAACGTCGTAGGTGGAATGCTGTCACCATTGCCCCATACCATTTCGTCTCTAACGAAATTCGAATGCCGTGTAGATGTAAATGAACCCACGACTTTACGGTCACCAGCCGGGCACCGTAACCAGTTTACTACCGTGTCGAAGTGGCTTGTAACATGAAAAGAAAGTGAAAGTACCTAATATTCGCTATATGTGTTAGGCAAGTGAAATGTAAAAATATAACTGTTCGGGTTTCACGCCCCATAACCACATGATTATAGGAGATGTCGTTATGAATGGCTCCGGATATTTCGACCATACAGAATTCATCAATCGCTATAGCGGCATCTCATCCCGCAACCTTAGAGTCAGCATTCAAGCAACAAGTACAACGTTGTTTAATTTACTAGGAGCCTACTTAGTTGCGCTGTAGATACAACAAGTTACAGGGCAATCTAGCTAAGATATAAAAAAAAGAAACAAAACTTCATTATGTATGCTCACTGTGATCAAGAAAGGTGCGGGGCACGATTCCCCGTTCCTCAGACGGCGAATAGAGTCTTCGGACAGCCGTAGTGTCTGCAGTGCTGAGCAGCATAGCCTCCCACTGCTCGAGCGTGGTTATCTTAAATGTAGGGCTAGCGCATTTGGTGCTGCCACAGCGAGAGAGCGCCAGATAATGTGATCAAGGTTGACGCGACCCGGTGAAAAATTCGCATATTCGTGTATATATCTGTATGCGCAGCATCAGTGTAAACTTGATCGCACAAAAAGCGTGGAAGGTAAGGAGACATCGCGTGTGAAAGTTCGAATCAAATGACTTGTTGCGCAGCTTCCGCGCACCCAGTGAGCAGTTACCTCAGCTGCCGAACCCGCTTCGTTCCTCTCGTAGAAAACGGCAACCCCTATTTTCGACCAGTCATGCTGCCAAAGCTACATCTTTGACCAGCACTGACAAAAAGCGTAGACGAACGACACACACAAAAAAGTCAGAACAATTTAGAGCTGCGTTTTTGTTTAGACTGTCTCGTAGGATTCCAACACATAAAGACTGCCAGGGAAGCATAGAACACGCTCGGAAGGCTGCTACGAGGGCTAGTTCACACGTCGCCGTCTTGTATATGAGACGGACCGAAGGAAAAGCGAAGGACAACACACAGTAATGCGCCACCTAACAACTCAGTTTTATTTCGAGCATGGGAAGACTTATGTAGCGACTCAAAAAAGCAAAAACAAAACAAGGATGTATAAGTAAAAATAGTGCACATTCAGTAATCAAAACCTGGTAGGCAGCAATAAAAGAAAGCATATCAGCCTCCACGTCTATAAGTGCCACCGAAGCGTGTCATGTGTTATGCGTGTGGTAACATAGGTGCCCCTAAATAATATGTGTCTTTTTGAAAAAGTGCAAATGAGAACCCTTTGTTACGCACCCTTTGCTAATTTTCACATAAATGCTTCGGTGACACCTCTCTCTACCAAATCAGCAGAGCACGCCGATGCTTTCATGTCTTGAAACATCGCCTTGCATTAACATTCTGCGCAGTGGGAAGCCAAAAGGCCAAAGTGGGTCAGCAGCGAACAGGCGTAGTTGTGCTCGTTAAGTAGGAAGGAAGCGTATATTGGAGTCTTCTACTACAGAGCAGCGTTAGTGAAGAAAATGAAAATAAAAGTGACTGAATGGCAGCTTGCCGCTGCGCGGATGCGATGTCACGACCTCTGCATCATCCAAAGTGTCCATGCAGTGACACACACATGGTCAAACGTTCGCAGTAACATGTCACTCCTTTACTTATTTCTTCGGAGGCATGAGGGTTAGAAGCAAGTTCTTTCGTGGCTTGTATAATACTCTGAGTTGTTTCATGAAGAAGTTCATATAAAAAACCTCATATAATAATGTATGAGGTTTTACATCCTGGAAAGCACGGTATATGTTGACAGAAAGCACAGTTGAGGGCTCGGAAAATTTCGCCCATCTAGTGTTTTTAACGTGTTCTAACATTGCACCAGTAGACGAAACCATCGTGCAATCGCTGCAACTGCAACCACTGCGGCTGCACGGCGCGGCTGGGATTGAATCTGCAACCTTCCGGTCAGAAGCCGAGCACCTTAGCCACTGCTCCACCAAGGCACTCTTCATAGAAAACTGAAGGTTACTGAAATAACTTGCAGTGCATAAGCGCTGTTTTGAATTCTGAGAGTGCCTCATCTGCCAGTCACACCACCACTTGGCGAAAAAGCGACACGTGGATTCCTAGAGCAAGAGATTTACAGTTGGTAAGGCCATTGTTCCAGTGTCGAAGTACAATAAACGTGTAATTGCGCGTATCAACGACACATATTGTGAAACTACTTGATTGATATGTGGGGTTTAACGTCCCAAAACCACTATATGATTATGAGAGACGCCGTAGTGGAGGGCTCCGGAAATTTAGACCACCTGGGGTTCTTTGTTGTGGAACTACTTGAATAAATTCTAACAGCTGCTGAGCACAATACGAAACCAACCGCATTTTATGTAATCACGTTTCGTACACATGGTCTTACACCTAAAATATTTTTACAGTGAGTCCCTCTTTCCACCAGGCTGCTGTGAACTGTTCATAAAACGCACCAGCTCACTGCAATTTAAGGAAACAATAGTAACGTTTTTGATTTTGAAATGTCAGTTTTTTTCCTGTATATGTGGTATTGCCTGTCTTGGCTACCATCTAAATGTCTCACTTAGAGTAGCAATGAGCAGAATTAAACAAAAAGCTGTGCGTATAAGGTAACATTTACAGTATTGCACTTGTGCACTGCAGTGCGTGGGCACAGCGGCTGCGGGGTTTCAAAATCGGGTTGTGTGCAGGGTTTCGAATATCCAAGCAAATGAACAAGACACATTGGCATTGCCATAACTATGGTTCATAAGTACTAGATACTATTCATAACAATAACCCGAAACAAGCAGGCGTGACAAAAGAGTTGTGAACACCTTACGGAAAGCACACAAAACAGGAAATTTCCACATGGATACACCCTTCCCTTGAAACAAATTTACAGCTTGTGGCTGTAGTATTAGACGCCTCAAAACGTAGCTTAGCCAGCAATTTCGCTAATCATAATTACGGTGGTTTAACGTCGCGAAACCACGCTGCGAACATAAAGGGTGCCGTTGGGGAGGGCTTCGATGATTTCGCCTACCTGGGTTTCTTTTTTGAGCACCGAAATCTGAGCACACGGGCCTCAGAGTTCTCGCCTTGGTCCAAAATGCGGCCGCCGTGGCCGGGATTCGATCCAGCGACCTACATGCAGGTCACCAGTTGAGCACTATGACCATGCACTATAGACCACTGTGAGCGTGTCGCCAGAAATTTCACAGCAGAGCTGTTATGAACGAGATTAGTCGAGTGTTGTACATAACAAAAATATCTTCATCATGAACCGGCGCGCACTCAATTACCGCCGATGCACTCTGCACAGATGCATACACATGTCAAGCAACAACGTGCGTCCTCCAATCAATTTTGCCACCTGTTTGTTTTCTCAATTTTTAGTCAGTCAATGCAATGGGATGTGTCCATTTCTGTGGTGTGTGCGCCCATCAGAGTTATATAATAACTTTGATGGGCGAGAAAACGAGTACAGATATGAAAAGACAAAAATGAAGATGGCGGAAGACAGAAAGTTGTGGTGAAAAAATTTTTAGCGAGGCAGACTCAAGCCCATGTCCCCAAGATCTGAAGGCGAGAGCATTGTAAACCATTTCGCTATTCTTAAACGTCAGTGGAGCACAGCAGAGCGTTGTATAGTATAGTATACAAGAGAGTTGGATACACGAGGGTGAGAAGAATAGAAAGCAGGTGGGGAGCACGAATACAGAAGGAGAGCGAAGGAAATAGAAAAATAAGCAAAGAAAAAAAGACAAAAGAGTACTGAGAAAGAAAGCGAGTCACTGACTCGAGGGAGAAAAAGACGTTCAGGGTCTGTACTGAAAGCTCACGGGTTTTTTTTATTATTTTGGGTCTGCAATGCCACCTCGCGGGGAGGCGCTTCAGGCAAAGTCAGTGGAACAAATAAGCTTCAAAACCAGACCGATTTCTGTCTCCTGCGAGTGGTTGCTGAGGCAGGTCACGCTACGCACGTAGGTGTCTACTGAAGCCTCGTAGAGTAAAAGCATAAACCGGTTTTTAGACAGCGTTACGCAGTCAAGTTTTGTTTGAAACAGAGTAAAAACGAGGCGGAAACGCTTTATACGCTTCAAAAAGTCTACGTCAAGGAGGCATCGAAAA